CATCATGAGAAGGACGCCCGGCAGCGGAGCGCCTGTCTGTCACTCCCGCACGAGGGTATATTGAAGTGCGCATGTATGTGGGTGCACCCTTCGGCGCCCTCGCGCTCCGCGTTGTATATAAAGGGCGGGTATGCGATGGTGCTTTTTGCCTTCACTCTGCCCCCCTATCGTTCATGCACCCTCAGGAGATATGACGCGCAATGTCTCCGTAGAGACCACGCTCGAGCCGCTCTTGATATGTGGTATTGTCTCAATGATGTACGTCCTTGTGGGTGTCGCTCGTTCGTAATCGTGGTTCTGACTGCATCGTCGTAGCCTGTACGGGGTGTTCGTTGCCCAGGTGTATCACTACTTCGTCGCTTATCCCGATGACAGGCCTCCAACGAAGGTCACGGTGTGTGCTCCACTGTAAATTATATGTATTGTGACCTCCATCTAATGCCGGAGATCAAGGTATTATTCGTGCTCTTGGTGGGGCTTTCATCCTCTGAATGCGCGTCTGGACGCTCAAGGACGCGATAGATGGAGACTCTGCAACAAGCTCTCCTGGTGCATACTCTGTGGTTCTACCTTGTCGCCACGGACGCGAGCGAGATCTCATCCTCCACTGATGCAAATTGGTGCGTCATGCGCTGGTATATCCGTGTTCCATCCATCCTTATCGGGACATCTGCAGGAGCTTCTTGGTGCGCCAGTACATCTCCTCGTCTTGGATCTCGGTTGAATGACGTGCGTGTGGGCGTGAGGTTTTTAGGGAAGGCTGATACCCACCGTGGGTGCCTCGAGTACCGTGTCGTCACTTGCATATGCTCACATACTATGGGACAGGAATTGGCCACCGTCACTGTAGAGTGGTGAGTGCTCTAGCCTCCTTCGTCTCTTGAGTGGGTGCTAAGCGGCGTCAGTTTCTTTGTCGGGAGATTGTGGTTGCGTACGTGCGCCCATTGACTTCTATTTCTGCCATTTGGTGGTTGACTGCGTCATCCACCAGTCAGCGACAGAAGGAAGATATATTTGCTTTTGGTGAGGTTTCTCTCTACATGCATCTCTCACTTGGCCCTAATCCACCTCAGCTCCTACCTGTTGCCATTGGTTTTGGTACGTTTCACCTAGCCGTCGTAGCGAAATTATGACCTATTATGGCGTACAGGGCTAGGTATCGGTCAGTGCCACGGTTTCATCTTACCCTATCGTGCTAATCGTGCGGTCGACGTCGTTTTAGCCAACGTTGTTCACCTGTACGAAGCTGCATCCCCACTCTTTTATCCCTGTCGTTGACCTAAGACACTAGTTTCCGATACCCTGCCTTTGGCGAGGCCAAAACGTCCACGGTGAGTCCCATGTTTTGTCGTCGCTCCATGCTACTCATGTCACTGCCTGGGAGGAGCAGGTGTACATCATTGCTTGGACTGCAGCACGCACATTCGCCGACATTTCTATTGCTCTGGCCACATGCTGCAAAGTGTACCGTTCGCGGCGCGGCGTCTCAGTACAGTGAGTTTGTCGTCGTTCAAACTCTGCAGTATATCAGCCATCATTGATTGACGCGCTTCGGTGCAGGTTTCGATCCGTGTTAACAAGTGTCTTCTCTTTCACACTCACTACCGGACTGCTAACAAGGTCCGCTTGCTTTTCTTCCACCTTCCGGATCCTTCTTGGTAGACTGACTATGTCAATACAGCCTTTTCGCACTGCTTGTTCTCGTCACGGTAAGATCGCTTGTCCTCCTCTCTACTTCTACCGATTTCGCACCACGCAGTACCTTGTCAGCCCTTACGCGCTTGTATACGCCGGGATTTACACCATCTACGGAAAAAGCGCGTGCTTTATCATCATTTACTTGGAGTCATTTGCTTAGCTTCAGCCTCCGGCCTTCAGTCTTCGCCAACTCCATGCTTGCATCGTACGTTATCCAGTTCCTTCCTTTCTCACCGTGGCATCAACGTTTCTTCACATAGGCTCAACAACCGCCGTTCACTCCGCGCTCGCGCGCACCACGATGTTGACTTGGACAGCTTCAACGTCGCGAACATCTCAACCTCCGGTGATACCGGAACGGGGAGCGAAAGCGAGATGGGCTTCGTTCCGCATTTGCGTCGCGTTGAGGAAAGTCAAGGCAGCAGTAGCTCATCTGACCCGGAATCACAGGTACCACTCGTCTTCTACTAATATACGCTCAAGCTACCATATCTGATGCGCATTCACAACATAGCTGCAGAAATTTCACCAAACCCCAGTCGACTGTGCTCAGTTCCCAGCTGCAGCGCTAAGTACCACTGATCATTCCTACGCTGGTGCGGGCGGTTCCCCAGGCGAAAGAAGATTCCTGCCATCCTGGACTTCCGTTCACGCGCCTCGATAGGCATTGGTCCTACTGATCCTGTAACACAAAGCCACACGGGACTTCTATCCCCCAGTAGGTCTTCCTTCAACACCAGTCGACGTACAATGATCTTACTCGGCGATTAGACGGGAACTGGCTGTTTGTACAGATGTACCTAATGCGTGCCTAGGTTTTCTTGATGCTCACATGACATTTCAATGCCGTGCATTCCCATCTCAGTTGCATTCATCGAACATTTACGCAAAAGCATGCCGCTTCCTGCACACTGTTATCATATCAAGTACTCTAGTTTCGATCTTGGACTGAACAAAATGCACTTTCCAACTTACGAGCTGCGGTGTTTGGATCGCAGCGGAATTCTGCGGCGAACATCTGTATAAATCGGGTTGCTGCTCGCGGCCAGCTAGCTACCCCCGTCGAGATACGCCTGTCATACTGCACTACCTGATCAGCGCTTCAGCATCCGATCCCTACCTGAAATCAACTCTAACTCGACGCTCGCTTTGTACGTCCTTCATCTTATTCCCTGGCATTTACTCAAACCACCTCTACGTCCCTGTAGAATCGACAAGCGCAGTTCGCTCTGTCACCACCGCACGCGGTATCACGGAGTTCGCTTGGATTGCCTAAATCCCATGTTCATAAATAGGCTCATTGCACAGGAATTCCGACACGAAGGCACGAAGGAGCCAGCGCTTCACCCTGTCCCTGAAATACGGTATCTGGCGAACTTGAAGCGAAGCGGCGCGTCGGACCTGGAACTAGTCCACTGCGCCTATTCTGCCACACTGACTGATGCATCGGAAATCATTGTAGCCACAGAATTTCCTTGGAAGACCCTAGAATTTCCGGACAATGATCCCGGGAACCTAACGTCGGCATTTACAAGTCGTTATCCCCACGCCGGGTTGTGCATGTTTGCTGAATAGCCTTTCAATACAGGTACCGCGTCAAGCGTCAATGTGCTCTTCTACTTATGCATCGAAGCGAATGGGTTCGAAGGAACGCGCATCGATCGCTCGTTCAATAGATTCCTCAATTTATCGCACTCGTCTTCAGAAGGGTGAAAATGCGCCCTTTTTATACCTTTCTGAGATGCTACTCGTCGTGCTCATGCTCCCGCTCCTCAGTGCGATGATCGACTGTCGAAGCCTTTGCAACCCAGCGTGAATACCACCTTCGAATTTCAAGGAAAGCAAATAAACGCACGTGATCTGCTCATAGCAGTAATCCCGCGTCTCCTGATACTTCTTCAGCCGGTGGTGCTTGTGCATGATACTGTAGAATTACGACCGTAAGTTCATTTTTTTCAAATTTTTTGGAATTAGCGCCCGCCGATGAGCCTCGATTTCTAATCGGAGCTCATCGGCGAGGTCCCCAGAAATCCTGCGTGATGCGTGATGAACTTACGGTCGTAATTCTACAGTAGTCAGCATCGCACAAGTTGCAGTCATCGCTGCACCAAAGCTCGGTTGTCAGCAATTCAGCTCTGGATACATAAGATCGGGCAAAGCTCACCCAGCACGATCGCTATCCCAGTGATCACGAACTGCCAAGTCGCAACTTCAAACGGCTCGTCTGGCGACATAGCGCACAAGTCCTGCACGCAATTATACTATCCGAATGGCATCAGTATCCGCGTACTTCACCGGCTGCTGCTCGAGCAAGCGGACGTACCGATGCGCACTCGCGATGATACCGACACGTCTGCCCTACAATCCTAAGCGGCTCACACACGTTCGACTGGGTATCGCAGAAAAGGTGCGCGGTGAGGCAGTTATCCCGCGCAATCGCGTTTATGAACGCGACTTGGTTCTCCGGGAGGGTCGTCACGTAGTTCGTGAGCTCATACGTGCAAGCCTGGCCTTCAGTCACGTTAGCATACCTGTGCGTCCCAATTTTCGTCAGCTTCTATCATCGAGGATAACAATAACAGGGTCGAGGGAAGCACGTACATGCACATGGACTTTAAGCAGACCGCGCCATTCGCGTTGTGTCGATCCGCCAACCCCAGCGCAGGATTGGGCCACGCGCACTGCTCGTCCCTTCCAAACTGACACCCTTGTCCAACTGCCGCCCGCGCCCGACATCCATCCCCTGCATCCGGACAGAACATGCCATCGCCACATAGCGGGGGTGGCACCTCGTCGGATGCGTACCCAAACGCGAACGCGTCGCGGCGACAGACGCGTGGCACGCATGTGCCGTTGTTCAGAGCGGAAGAGCAAAATGTTTTGGGATCGCAGTCGCTGGTGGGCTTATACGTGATGGGGTCAAGCTTTTCGCGATCTGGCGAGCATGTTTGGTTGGCGGCAGTTGGACTGAGAGCCTGGACAGCGATGGCGGAGGTTAAGACGAGGATGAAAAGGAGTCGAAACATGATGGGGAGGAGAGAGGAAGGAGCCCACATACTGCGAATAATTTATGGCAGGGTATTGCGATTCAAACCGAGGCTCCGAGGCTCGGAATCAGGTGTTGGGCCGACGTACCATTCCAAGACCGCCTGCTAGTTCTGAGTTGTGAGACATTGCGCCGCACAGTGGCCTATATCACGTATATCCTGAGAACGTTAAGCATCTGGATGTCCAAAAGACAGTATTCAATAATACTATTTACTATTCAGTATATTATACTGCTCTTGAAAGGGAAAAAACATTGACAAGAAGGGGATTCGAACCCCTGCCAGGATTACCCTGATGAGAAACCTTCGCTCGAAGGCAAGCTTTCACTTGAGTCACACACCTTAGACCGCTCAGCCATCTTGCCTTGCTGAGATAGAAAGGCTGAGCGCCGATATTGTGCCACACCGGTGATGACGCTGATGGCCGGTTTTTAATACTTTGGCAAGATCTGATCACGGTGTTCGTCTACTCGCTGTTCGGCCGTATACAATGTCCGCGCCGGCCGATCTCCTTGGCCCTCTTGCTCGTCTGTATCTCTAAGACACTCCTTGGACCCGGCCGGTATCGATGCTCTTATCATGTCGTTACGACGTCCCACTGTACAGATCTTAGCATTTCCGACACGCTAGGGTCGGACTGTCGGACTGGCTGTGGAAGACAAACTGCCGAGTCAAACTGTCAAGGGTACAAAGTCGGTCGACTTCCCTATTCACATACTCCCAATTTCTTCCCCACTTTTCCGAGTTCACCCCCGAAAATCATGGTCCAGCTCCCAGCAGTTTCTTCCAGCGTCGTCTACGATGGCGCCGGTGATTTGGTCACCCTGTCAAAATTTGGGCACATCGACGCTGCAGCGACGGTACGCGTATAAATTATAATATACCTTGCGTTGGTTATGCATGCTCACCTCCATCTTTCAGGCTAAAAAGATTGTTAAGCAGCTCCCAGCTGACTTTTACACTCCCTTCCTGTCCGAGCTCGCCAAAAACCGCAGACCGAGTGCCAGTACATTGCACAATTTCTCCAGCTCCCTTTCGAAACCGACGCGTACATCTCCCAGTCCGTAGCCTCTTCCCGCTCGAAGAAAAGCCCGGTATGATCAGCATGTTGGCCGGGAAACCCAACGCCGCCATGTTTCCTTTCGACTCCGTCGAGTTCACCACTCGCACCCCGGAAGATCCGTCCCGCAAAATTTCTCTTTCAGTGGACTTGGATCACCTTGCTCAGGGCTTACAGTACGCCGGCACGGATGGCATTCCTCCTTTTGTGGACTGGCTGACCATGTTGCAAGAACGTGAACATGGGAGGAAGAGTGCGACAGAGGGATGGTTCGTGACGGCGACGTCGGGTTCACAAGACGGGCTGTACAAGGTGCGT